AATTGTGTCGGAAATCGTGCCAGTGTCCGTGTGTCTCGTCTCGCCGAGACTCTCGAAAATTGTGCCGCGCGTAGTTTCTCTCGAATCGACTCAAAGTATCTACGTTACACCTGCATGTGCACCCGTATCCTGCACGCACGCATTGCAGTTGGCATGTTGAGATCGGGAAAGGAATTGGCATTCCACTTACTAAACGCATATCGCATATATCATTATGTAAGCGCGCGGGCGTGCGCGTTAACAGTACATCTAGAGAATAATTTCACAACATAAGGTAATATTAAAATGTATAATAATAAGTATAGAAATATGAACATACAAGAATCTGTGAAATAAATACGGATTTCTATAGCTTGTCTGTATAAATATTTATATAGATTTTTTTTAAAAGTGGGAAAATTTCTCTTTTTTTTCGTAAAAATTGTAATGCATGTGGAGTCTTCTTATTTTTTCTTATAATTATTTAATTTTTCTACAATTTCTTGAATCAATGAGATACAAAGAGCGGTTTTGTTATCGAGGACTGCACAGAAACTGATCCTTTGTTAGCTACTCTTGTGTCGCCATTGTATTTGACCTACTTTAGCACCCTATTTCGGGTGAAAGATCTTGGCGTATAATAGGGGAAGCAACTCCACTGCAGGAGGGATGACTTTAATTCGCGTGACAGCTTGAAAGTGAATCGATGTTGAATTTTGCTCCATAAACATACTCGATCAAAACAAAGTTTGTATAAAATGAAGAGTTGTGTAACGTTCTTTTTAGGACATTAGGACGAGCACAAATTTTTGTCTTAAAATCTGTTTGGACAAAAATGTATATAATTTAATTGTAATTTTTCTTTTTCAAAGAGAGATTTTTGATGATAATTACATGAAAATTACAAGAGCTTTTTATTTTTCTATTAAATGTTTTTCAACAAAACAGTACTTTTTTCGATCGTTGATTTTAAAATCGCAGCCTTGATTGCGTAGATCAGTAAACTGTTGAATGGCGAAAGAAAGAGGCAGTCGCGTGAAACGTTAATACCCGCGATAGGCAGGAGAGTCCGAAGGCCGAGCGAGAATCCGCGACGTGTGGGCGCTCTTCGTGCCCACGTGTATCTACGAGTTGTGCCACGTGCAAGGTCGTAAACATCGAGGGACCGATGTTCGTGATACTTTAGAGTCACTTGATATATAATTGGTCACAATTTTATAATTTTACGCCAATCGAGTCGCGGTGATTATCGAGAATCATGTTTCTTATAAAATTGATGTCTTTATTAATTGAGAATTTTTTATGATAAACATTCATAATTATATTTTTTTATATCGACAACAAGCTGATTGCACGCCTTGAATAAAAGTTTAATATTTTCTGATTAATCGCAAAAGTCATTGTAAAACCTAGGACATTGCGTTTCGAATCAATGAACGTAAGAATCTTGAACTAGAAAATTGCAAACAAAACAAAGGCTGCAGGTGACGCACAAATTCTCGGTTATACTTTTCGCGTAATAAAACGATGACTTTTCGTTGTCGCAAAGCGCGACTTTGTAGACAGATCCGTTCACATGCGTATATTTATGAACACGCGTGTCGATGTATCTGCACATGGTCTACGCAGCAGGCCACATACGTGCTGCATATGCTTGCGAACCGCAACGTATAGCTTTGCGTAGGCGATATTTTAGCCGGAATATGTCACGTGGCTTTATAAATCATTAAAATTGGAAGAAAATATACGACACTTGAAGTAAAATGTGAAATATAAAAGATTCGTTAAAAAAACGAGGAGAGTGGATTTCCCATATTGACCTTTATTTTCTTGCATTTTAAAATATGGGTCGATTATGTTAATCTATGATTGATATCGCATCAATTTATCTTCTCGAAACACGAATGACGTAACATTTTTGCAAGTTTATTTACGAGCAGCTCCGCTGTTATCAGCTACTCAGCTAATTTAACTATTCCAGTTATCACTTGTTGTCAAACTTTCCTCTTACACTTCCAAACTAATATTTCTGCGATAAGGCGGTATAGAACTTATTTAGGAGAATTATTTATATAGCATGATTTCAAAGTTTCGAATGGCCGAGGAGAAAAGTTGTGCAACTTCCGTCGTATAGATGTGGGTGCATTATTAATGTCAGTCTTTGAAAACAATTGCAATCGATGGTGGTTAACAATGGATGGTAGCGGCGAAAGTATCGATACAGGTTTCTTTCTTTCTGCTTACGACTATAGGATCGCGTTCATGGCAAGACTACGTCATGTATTATATATGTACTGCAACGTACACATATGGATTCAAAAGTTTGATGTGATTATTAATATTTTTTCGCAAATATGTAAAATGAGCGATATTTTTTCAAGCTCTATAAAATCGAAAAAATCAATTTTCTTTCTTAGGAATTATTTTTCCACGCATTCAAAATTTAATTAAAATGAAGAAAAATTATTAGGAAAATAATTAGAATTATTAAGAAAAATATTTTTAATTCGAACATTTTTTATAATTCGAGGGCGTTTTATTTACAAGATTGCGTGCGAAAAGTAAAAGATACTTGGGTATTATCGAAATATTATAGGTATATCCTGGTACGCCTGGGGGCGATATCGGATGCAGCGGGAACAGGATGCATATCGATGCGACGCGTATGCACTTATAGCGAGAGAGACGCGGGGTCTTTGGCCGCCTAATGGCGGATGCTTCGCTTTTATACCGTCTTTGAGATGGCTTTCCCCTAATTCGCATCAATTGACTACGCGAGGACGACGCGACGAAGGGAGAGCCGTAATTAAAATTAGCATCGTTGCATCTCTCCGCGCTCTGAAATTCGAGATGCTCGTTGTGCAATTCATCCGTTCGCGTAACGCGATATCGAATCTCGGTGCTATTTTCTTTTCGATCGGAACGTGAAACCTCCTCGATTTGTCACTTTGATTTTACTTTTCCGACAAGTCGCTCTACATTTTTCTTCTTTTTTATGTTAATCTCATTTAATTTCTACATATTTGTGTAGACTTTCACATCTGCTCTTTTATTTTTGCATAATTTATACGCAATTTCATCAAAGATACACAACGTTAATAGATGGTTTATAGTATATATTGCGAAAAAATTCAAAGAATTTGCTGTCAAATGTTTGGCGAATTTTACTTAAATATATTTGCGGCGACTTTGACGTCGATTTAATCAAAAATTTAGTGACTCAATCTTGTAGCGAAATCGATCTTGTAAAGTAAACTCGTATATTCGTTCTGTCCGTATTACGTAAGCTGTCACATTTCCGTAGACGAATCGTTTCTATCTCGCTTCATTCAGCCTTGGCCTCATAATCCAAAATCTGCATCATCGCCGTCTCCACGAAATTCGGAAATGGACCGAAAACATTTAGCTCTCATTTTTTTTTACTATCGAAGATGTCGAAAATATCCTCAATCCTTGAATTGCGAAATTCATAGTTTTCCACGATTAAAAATAAAATTTGGGGGAGAATAATTAATGTATAACATTAATTATATATGCATTAATAGAGTTTGTTTTTCAATCGAATGAAACTTTCTGTTGTTTAATTATTTAAAAATATTTATATATATTAATTTACTCATATTTTATTTAATTATTTGAAAATTAATTTTTAAGATTCTACTTGAGCAAAGGTGTGCTTCAACTTTTGCAAAGTACTTTTTCGAATTAATTTTAGTTTCTTCTTATCATGATTTATGTGTGTGTATATATATGTATGCTCTGAGAGAGAATTTTGACCGACAGTCTCTTAAGGCAACGTTAGAAAAGAGGTTCGAGTTGAAAAAATATTTATGCGAGGAGCGTACATTCTATCCGCGGAGGAAGATATAACGATAATATCCGCAATATCTCGAAAAATATTTTTAGGCCGATACGCACACGTGTGCGTACTGTACGTTCCATTCTTTCGCTCGATGACGAAGAGAAATGGAAACCATTCCGACTTAGTCCCGTTAGACTTTGTACATGTGAATCGCACACAGATTCATTACGTGCATCCGTTATGTGACCATCGCATGATTAGTATTGAAGTTAAGACACAATGAAAAATATGAAGAGTGGCATGTCTCTAAATAAGAGAATGTCTCCTGTCAAAATCGAAATAAAACATTATTATTTTCCAACGATAAGACGTACGTGTGATATTTTTGTGTGAAATAAATTAGAGCAACATGTGTACTTTATCCATGAAAACTTAATGAGATGACTCTGGCCTGCACTTGGAATATAGCTTTAGTCGTCTGAAAATGTGCTCTGAAAATAGAGGCGGGTCCGTGAATAAAATAGAGTGTCGTTCCCAGATCGGCGATTGCTCTCGACGCGTCTCGGGGGACTCGCATCCTCGATTATAGATCTCCGAATAGCGACCACAAGACGATGACGGCAGCTCACGGGCTCATTAATAGCGTGGCGTGTCGAATTTTGATCGAGAGCGCGGCGAGAAGCTGCGACGAGGACCTCGTCGCGTCGACCTTGGCGCAGGTTTGTCCCTGAAACTTTCGCAAAGCAGGATCGATGTTTCGCACGATGCTTCGCACACAACCGCTACATTCTCTGTATGTCACCACGTCACCGGATGTTCAAAACGATCTCCGCTTCATCAAAACCGATTTTTCTTGGCGAACATTGCGAGGGAAAGATTTGTAGGAACTAGATTAGTTGTCTTTGTGTGTAATATAGATATCATATAGATACGTACACACACATAACCACACACACACACGCAAGATGGAGTGTGTAAAATAAATATTTGTTAGTCACGTAAGTTTTAAAAGGGATGAATTGGGACGATTAAAATCAATTATTATTATAATTCTATTATTTTATTAATCTTTTTATTATTTTTTTCTTATCGTTATCAGTATCTTAATCCTCAAACTTACGTGAGGAAGAAATATTTCTTTTAATTTATTACAAAAGATTTGCCTAATTAATTGCACCGTTGTAAACTGACGAACGCAAACGCGTCGTTGTCATTGCAGCCGCCGGAGAATGAGCTGCAGAAAGTGGGTGAGCGCGTGCCGAGCGAGCACGAGCTCAGGGTGCAGCGATCGTTACAACGGCTCAATGTTCCCGATTGGTACAAGAATTCACCCGCTGCTCGCGACGGCTTCCGGTTGAAGAGGCATTCCGACGCTTCGCAACACGGAGGCTGGCGCGCCCTCGGCTCCAAGACCACTTCTCTGTCGTCCCTCTCGTCGTCTTCCAATCGACAACCGACCACAGGTGAGACCAAAGTCATCTTTGACCAATGTTATTAGCACTAAAAGAAATTAAATTTTATAAATATAAAATTTTCTCGCTAAATTGAAAGAAATTGAAAGATATTTTTGGACATTCATGTGTTGCAGGTGCTCTTTTAAGTCCCAGTCCCACGCCTCCCGTATTCTCGAGATGGAGTACCAGCTTGCTGAACAGTGCCGGCAGTTCACCCGCGAATTCGGCCAGGTCATCCTTCAATCATCGGCAGCCCTACTTGGGCTGGCGTTCTCAAGAACGACTGGCCAATCCGCGCACGCCGGCGGAACGTCTTGCTCAGGGTATTCTTCCTCAGTTGCAGGCCGCAAACAAGGTAAAAAAAACGCGAAAAAAAAAAAAGAAAATTCCTCGAGCGACTCTTTCTCGTTAAGTATATTTGTCCTGCGAGTGCGTCGAGGGAGATTAATGCTAAATATTGCGTAAAGATCATTTACGTCACCGTTGACGTCACAATTTTCTTTACGTCAGCAAGCCTTGCATTTCCGTCCAGTTTGCGAATCGATATCCACGAATGTATAAATCCTGTACATCTCGAGCTGCTTACTACGTTTACTCGTGAATTTTGCAAATTAGGTTCAAGTATCGATATGACACTGAATATGTAACCTTTAGTCCATGTTTCTTTGCCTACATGATTTATATCGTACTCTTTGTACGGTTCGCTGTCGCTTTCTAAAATTAGACGTTCTGACAGAAATGCTTCTGTCGTCTCGCATCTCTTTTTCATGGTTTCTCCGCAGACAAACATTTTATGCAGTCTACTTTGTTCCATTACATTTAATAACGCCTTTTTTCTTAAAAAATTTTAATAATTTTAAAAAACCATGTAAATAAATATCACAAGACTTGCATCTGTCATTAATATAGATTGTTTTATCTGATAAACATATGTGATTCAATGTCAGGCAATGTTATCGATTTTAAAAGTAACACAAAATATTTAATGTATGAAAAATTAAATTACAAGAGATTAATCGTGCCTATCTTTGAGTGTTTGAAATGGATTTGTAATATTGCTTCGCAGCAACAGCAGCAGCAACAGACAACGAATCAGCAGTTGGAAGTACGAAACTCGATAAAGGAGGTGACCTCGGCCATCGTGCACTACGTGCAGAGCGGTCAAGAGGTCGGAGGTGGCGGTGGCGGCAGACTCTCGCCACGATCTCGACCTGAAGATTGGGACGACAGGGGCGGAGCGAGGTCTACCAGCCCCAGAGGTGAGCACTAAATCGTCCCCACAGCTACCAAAAAAAAAAAAAACAAAAAACAAAAAAAATACCATCCTATCAACACCACAACCACCATCACCTTTGTTCTCCGTCACGAAGGTAATTTTGAGTTCTCCTATTTTCTTAATGTCTTCTTTTGTCTTCCTTTGCAAGCTGCCTCTCTTTTTCTCTCTGTCTCTGTCTCTCTCTTTGTCTCTGTATGCATCAACTGGCTCTTCGCATCGCTGAGGTCAAAACAGGTCGGTCTAACATTTCCCCCCACTTTTTCAAGTAGAACAATCTTAAGTGTTCTCAGCGGTTCTATTTCATCTACTTAAAATGTATTCCGAATATATTTTTTCACCTTGTACATTAAATGAAATTCCCTTAGAATTTTCTATTCAATTCCCAGCTATTATATCAAAATTAAGTCACATAATTATTATTGATGTGAACCGCATTTTGTATATAATATTCTGAATTAATGGAGAAATTATTAACGGAATTAATTATAAAGTTAATTATGGAATTAATATAGGGATTAATTAGAAAGTTTTTATCTAATTAAAAATTGAATCGATTATTTCTCGTTAAATATATATAAAATATTTGTTCAAAATTTTTTTAAACATGATCGCTAAATTATGTAACGATCATACGTTGAATTTAACGTGATACAGGAGAAAGTATTTATATAAAGTCCTCTTTATTTCAAATTCAACTATAGCTCGTGTTCTCCGACATCTTGCGATATCGCTTCAGGTACGCGAATAAATTTCTAAATAAGATGCAAACAGTCAATTTTAGCATCAAGTAATCTTTCATCAATCTCATCCGACGATGGGTATATCATCTTCTGAGGAAGTATCTCCGCTAATAGAGATCCTTCAAGTTCTCGTATAAAATCTACTACATTTTTATGCTAATTATACTTACAAGGAAAATAAAATCAACATTTCTTTATGATTCTTCACATGGAATATATTATACATATTTTTATAGATTTCATTAATAAACATTTTTTCTGTTAATAAAATAGATATAATATTGGTTTATAAAAATTAATATCGATACATTTTTTTATCATACATTAAAAAAATATTTATTAGTTTATTAAATATTAAATAGTGACTTTCACACAATCAGAGAAATTGTGTTTGCAAACTATGTTTCAATTTAGAAATGCACTACCACGTATTTCGAAATCCAAATGATTTGAGCAGATCATGACCTTCTCGTCTTTAGACAATCTCGACGCTGTGATTTGAAAATGTATCATGTCGAGACAACTCGTTGCTATTTTGATAGTGTCTCGTGGCCGTCGTCACCGAAATAGATTACCCTGAAATTCAGATACCCCTTCCCGGCCTACCTCCTCTTTTCATCTTCTCAATGCGAGCAAATTCGCGTTCGAGCCATTCCCTAGGGAGATATGTTTGGAAATAAATTGAATAATAAATTGATAAAAGGAAATTAGTGAAAGATTATACACAAAGCAATTATAAAGTTGTGTCTTATCACTGAAACTTTGTTGAACTTGTCATCTTTCTGATGGAAATTTGATGAATTGATGCAATTCTGCACGTTTTAATTATGCTTATGTGACACTAACACATATATTAACACTGATAATAATGGACAATGAAAATAATCCGCTTGATTCCTTACTTTTTTTCTAACAATACTTTTTGCCAGCTTTATATATTAATATTACTTTTTAAGATAGAGATATACGCGCGCGCGCATAAAGACATTTTTTTTATTCTTACAATTATTATATAATATTTAAATATAAATTGGATATATATATTAGTATTTTCTGCAGACAGATATAATTATGTCGTTGTATTCGTCAATCAACTTGTAATTATTTTTAGTTTTCTTTATTATTCCGATATGCCCCTATGTGCTTCTGCTACTTAAGGCGATTACGCGGTCAATAAAAGTAGTTATTGCCCGCATCGCCAGATCCTAATTATTTGAAAGAGCCTTAACAAAAGAGATTATAAATCCCCACGGTATTATATAACGTGTATGCACAATAGCTTCCCTCTCATGATGCCTTTGCGCGCTTAAAGATACGGTATAGTTATTTATTTAGCTCTTATCTTCTGTGCGAAAATAAATTTAGTAGATGCATTAACAAATTTTTTTATTACTTTAGAAAAATGGAATGTATCAATGTAATTTTACTGTAGTCATAAATATTTGAAGGATAAATTTCCCAGTTATAAATCTTGAATTTGTTTACAATATCGGCTATCAATTTTTGTAAATCTTCGAAATATATTCATGTGAAATATTATTTTATCACGTATTGTTATTTCGAATTGAAAAAAACCAATTTTGAAAAAAATTTAGGAATTTTAAAGATAGATTCTTACACGAAAGAGATTAGGATTTTGTTCGAAGAAGAATTAAAAAGTCGTTAAGAGTAGCCAAGATAGTTTAAAGTAGCCAAGCTCCAAGGGTCGTTGATGACCCGGGCCTAATCGCACTTATCGGTACCTCGAAGGGAGCGTGAAGCTGTGCTGGATGGAGAGCTCGTTCGTCGGCACGCGGCCCGTGGACTCGCCGGAGACGCCTATGAGCCTGGCGACCGACCAGGAGGCGGGCGACTGCTGCAACGCGGCCGGTACCGAGTCTTGCAGCTGCCAGGACTCGGCGGCCTCCGGCCTCTACCTAGACCTGACGCCCAGCCGGGACGACCTGCGTCACCATCAGACGTCCTCGGCCGGCCCGTCGCCCACGTCCTCCTCTCACTACCATCATCATCACCATCATCATCATCAGCGTCACCAGCATCGCCAGCAACAGCAGCAGCAGCAGCGTCATCACCGCGGTGAGTTGCTGCTCGCCTAGCGGACGTGCAAAACTTCCGGCTATTATTCCGCGCCGTCGCCGAGCGTGCAAAGCTGACGAAGACGATCCAGGGGAGAGCTTCCTCCGATCGAAGATCGATACTTCGACTCCCGTATGAAACTGTGTAATTAATTTTTAGCAGAATTTGAGAAAAAGAAGCGTAGCGATGACATTGATCAATATTAATTTTAATATTAATATATTAATTTTAATATTAATTTTAATATTAATATCAATATTAATATAGATTAATCTTCCAAGTAGCGGTTTAATTAAAGAGTTAAATCACCGAGTAAATTTTTATGCGCAGAAATTCTTTCTCTCGCATTCATCGCAAAACCCATTCATCCACTCGGATTCCATTTATACGAGTCGCTCTATAGAACGATGCAACGCTCTATAGAATAGATGCCCTTTAAAAGGGTGACGTTCGCTCGTCGCGCTTTCATCTCGTCGACGTAGGCGTAGAATCCCCGGAAGTACTTTCATAATTCTCTCTCTCTCTCTCTCTCTCTCTCTCTCAGATTCGCAAGCTTTTTATCGGCTTTTGACAACGATTAGAGCTTACGCCCACATATCGATAATCGTTATCTCCCCTCGTCCTCGTTTTCGTCAGTTTACGTCGCGCGCTCAGGCGAGTCGCAGGTACGCGAGGCTTAATCCAGCTTCCAGGATTCGACTAATTAATTTGCATAAGCCGACTCGAGCCAACATATACATATATTCTCTCGTTCTCTTTGCGAAACAGACAAGACGATAAGACTGTGTATATCCGTTTGAGAGCTTTCTTACGCTCGAGGCTAAATCCCGATAGTAAAATCCTTTGCGAATAATACATCCGACTTAATTCATTGATAATTTTTACTATCGAGGATGATTTGAGAGAGTGAAACTCAGATTAAATATACTCAGATTTCATCAATGTCTCGAGATCCGAAATAATGGCGATAAAAAACAAACTCTCTCATTATGTTTTGATATTTAGTAACGATTTATTTAATGGTGGAATTTTTATCGAGACTAGAGTAAACTTATGCTCGACGACATTATTTCTCAAGGGAAAAAAGAAAGTGGTCAAGAATACGGAAGCATTCTCGAGTCGCGCTTTTGGCAGACTTTTCGCGTGCAGCGAGAACTTGTAGTAAATTCTTTCCATTCCACGCGCGTTCTCTCGTCTCTCGCTCCATTCACTCTTCTCACTCTCGTCGTCGCTCATGCGAGAAAGCTCATCGTGATGAATTTTGTAGAGTACACTTTCTTACTTTGTTTACGACACGTGTTGACGACCCTCCGCTCCCCTCCTCCCTTCGCTGATAAGAGTACGATTAAAAGGCGTTCTCCCCGTACCGTGTTACGCGAGATATTAATGTCAGATTAATTTAACCACTTCCCCCCTCACCTCTCTTCCTCCACCTTTGTCAGTAGTTATTTGCATTCATGTATGTTTACTGTGAAACTGTCCACTTTACGTTAACGCCTGTAGAATTTGTACAGGTGCGTACATACGTGTATTAATTAGGTTTAATTATGCGAATCGCGCACACCGTTCATTATGTGTTGCAAGTGCGTTGATATTATTATTATTATTATTATTATCTCATCATTATCTCGTTATTATTATCATTATTATTATTTTTTAAGTATATTATTATTATTATTATTATTGTTGTTGCTATTTTAATTACAACAATGCGAAGCCCGCAGAATCGTCCGCGCGCAGAATCAGCCATCTGTTTCTCTCTCTCGTCTTGTACCTTGAAATACGTCTGTGCCTTGAAATATTTGTTTTATAATTGATGTATATTGCTCGATTGTAGGGGTAAATTCTAAACGATTGGACGAATGGAAACGATGGTTTCGCGATGATTTTGCGTGCTCGATTCTCTCTGTCTTTCTTTTTCTTTTGAACGGTTCCGTACTTATTGTCCGGACATACATCAACGATTATCATTTGTCTGTGTAGAGCGTAATTATTATCCCTGGCAACAAAAATAAATTATTGTCATTATTATTTGTGTTCTCTCCGTAAACTTGTTTACTCCTGCGTTCATCTCTCTTTCGATCATTTTTTTTTTCCTCTCACTTTTGTACGCATATTTTGTTTTTAATCGAATCGGTTAATTTCACGATCTCAATGGATTAATAAATGAACAAAGTAATGTAAATAAAAATAAGTAACGTCTTATTGTCTATCGAAAAGATTATCGACACATGTAGATATCGTGCATGGTTGTATGTATTTTTTTTTTCAATAATCAATTTTTAATAGCACGGTCACTTTTGCGCGAACCTTTTTCTTCGATCACATTGTGTACCACTGTTCTGCTTGTGTCACGGTAAGTGCTGCAAGAATTTTGTTGCCTTCTTGACTACCAGTCAAGAGTTTTTATTTTCCTTCTATTTTTAATTCGATAGCCATACTTGTACGCGCGTAAAGCACAATCGATGAAATATATTGATAAATATTGGTAATTTGCAATCCTGAAAGTTGATCTGTGTCGTATTTGTTGAATTGTGAGTTTAGGCAACTACAGTTAATAAATCGCAGTTATCGCATTTATCATTGACAAAGACTGTAGAGAACTTATCTTTCTCTCTTCCTGATTTGAGGGATGAACACTTTTTTTTTTTTATCGAGGAGAGGAGAAATTAACAAAATTAATCTAAAGGTGCAGGAATGGGACAGGAATGGACCGCTTTGTACTCTTAAGCCGAGGTCGGTAAAAACTTGGAAATTATTCAATTGGATATTATTGAATTTGCATTCGGGCATAGAAGTACACATACTCATACATATGACTCGATTTAAAGGACGACATCGCGTCAAAAGGACAACGAGAAAGTGATTGCTTTATTATTAATCGTAGGATTAACATGGAAAAAAATGAGAAACTCTCTCGTTCTCACCCCCAAGAAATACACGTACTACACATGCATACATACACATATACATACACAACATACTCGGACGTACACTTTCGAGGCCAAGAGGATGACGCAAACCTCTCTCTGTCTCTTCTTTACCCCCGCATGATACCGATGATCAGGATCGGGCCAGAGCGATACGGACGAGGCGATGGCGACGGCAGCTCTTCTGCGGAACAAACCGAGCCCGGGCTCCACAACCCTGGAGGACGTACTCGACTCCCTCCTGGGACTGCCACCCGCGTCGCGTACTCCGAGTCCTGGTCCGGGAGGACCCGTCGTGACCGCCACGTCCGCCATCCGTCATCGCCATACGAACGCCGCCGTTGGCCAGGCGAAAGCCGGGAAGAGCTGCAGCGACCTACGCCAAGACCTCCAAGGTAGGAGGACTATGTAAGTTTTCGTTCTGATCGGCAGATCCTACAAGAGACGATTCGATCTCTTCTATCGTACGGCGCCCTATTCTTCGTACCCCGAAGAGCGAACGCGTGCGCATCGAGTGTCTCGTGAGGATCCATCTACGCCGATGATCAAGATATTGATTTTCTTTTCTTTCTCTTGTCGAGATATTTGTTTCTCGTTAAAGTGATTTTTCTCGCAGAAAATTATTTCACCGTGCATTCTTATTAGAGGCTTTATTTTCCTGGAAAATGTTATTTCTCAGCGCGATGAGGATCCGCGGGGTGTATGCGTTTCTCGGGACACATCTCGATGTACACGGGATCGACTACGTATATTCTGCTTCGCGATGCCAAAGCAGTAATTTGCGTTTCTCTTCGCCTCGTCGCCTCACCTTTCACTCGCGGAGACTGCACCCGTAACTTGAACGAGGAACCAGATTCGCGCACGAACGATACTCAAAATTATATACATCATATCATATATATATATATATGTACATCTCTACATTTTTACATTATTATCGCCGCAAAAGTAAAAAGAGAAAAATACTTTGACAAAAAAATCTATCGCTCTTTCAAGAATCTCAATTTCGTGAAAGACCACAAGGTGGAATAAAATTACGCAAAAGTTCGAAATTTTACTCTTTAACTCGAGAGTCTGGACTCTTCAGCCTCTGACTCGATCATCCACTTATCGATATGTACGAGAACGTCATCCGACACATCAAGAAGACGCGATGTCTCGATGTCCCTTCCTCTCTCGCCGAACTCACGTTCTTTTGCACCTTTGCAGAGGCGAGCCTAAGGGCGTGTAAAGCCCCTCGCGGGGTCGTAACCACCCCCGAGTCCGAGGACAAGTTTGGCCGTGGCCGGCCGCCGCAGCAGCCCCTCGCTGCTTATGATCGCGCGAATGATTAAGCGAGCGCGTGTGATTAATAACACGAACCGAGACGGAGATCGTAAGGCAACAATCATCACCAAGACTCTCGACACACTCTCTCTCTCTCTCTCTTGTATTTTTTCTCTATCTCTCTCTCTCTCTTTCTCTATCTTTCTCTCTACAAGTCTGTCACTCAGCAGCGCTGTTTATACTTTTCTGCAATCCGCTTCATCTTTCTCTAATTTAATTCAAGCTGTCTGATTACGAGTTATCGAATTTATAAAAGCACCATATTATTACACGATATTATAAATTTCGTGGAAAGATTTAGCGATTAGTCGAACCCTTTTTTGAAGGTTCAAATATATCTGTGTATATTGCTTTTAATTCAGAAAGCGTAAAAAGAGAGTACAGACTTTTTGTGCACATTGATGGCACGTGCACAGCTCGATGTCAAGCTCGATGGGGTGGGTTGGATGCAGATTTCGCTCCTGTTGTAACAATGCTTTTCATAATTGTGATCTATTGTATATCCAACGAGTGCTCACTCACTTTATGATATTTTTAAATTTCAAATATATTTATCTCTTATCAGTATTTAACATCATTAAAACTCAGTATTTCCGTATTACAGCTAGATCTCTCGCTACAACTAATTACTTCCGTAGATTACAACTTGTGATATCTGTTTATGATTTTAATTAGCTTGGTATTTCTTTTCCAATTGATTTCAATCCAATTATTTAAGTTTGCTTTTAAATTGCTTCATTTTTTTTAGCTTCAGGTACAAAGTTGTGAGGCCACCACTGACACAAGCGAAATGTTGATTAATGGCAGAGATTTAGATATTTGCTAGGATCATTTGTTAAAAGGGGGGGATATGTAAGAGCGTTATTAAGGAGTATATATCACGCCGATCATTATCATCACGCTCATACGGCTTGCTTACAATCATCACGTTATTGTGCTTAACGCTGCTATCGCGCTGGCTCTCGGTAATGATGACGGAGGAAAGTGAGAACGAATTTGCGTCCCCTCGTTCAATATAACATCATTCTCCTTAACATTAAATCATTCGTTACCATTTAACGATATCATCTCGTTATATCGAAGCATCGATCAACACCATAATTTTCCATTTAACATCATCACTTGGTAAAATAACATAATCAAAGAGCCAAATTGTGTTACATTCATATTTCGAAATAAAAAATGAAAATTGTTAGTCTAAGCAATAATGTCAAGGCCATCTCCAGAGACTTGGATCTCTGATTTCGTTATTTTATGCGAAAAGCGCCTGAAGTGACATTGCATATAAAACAAAAAGAAGATTCAAGTCTGGATCGTGCATATCTTTTCATTTTTGAAAACTGAATAAAAAATAAAACTACATAAAAAATAAATTTATTTTTAAAATAAAATAGAATCTCGTATATCCATTAATATGGTTCAATGTAATAATTTGTTTACATTGCCTTACTGTTACAAGAATGAAATAGGAATTGTAGTTATATATGTATGTTACACATATATGAGAGAAGATTCAATATTTTATTTAGTTAATTATTAATTTTTATCTGCAGAAAAAAATGCAAGTACAAGTCGAAAATTTCTCTTTATAACACACAGACCTATAACGACTCTTGTTGGCCTTGACAAAACATTACTTGGACTTGCCTAAAGGAATGAACGCAAACTTGTGTTTCATCAGACAAGTTCTTACAAAAATCTGTAAAATCCGAACTTTCTAAAAATACGAATCTCTAACGACAATTTGGGAATAAGCTCTTAACTCACGATCGTTCTCCGACCTCTCTCATCATTTTCCTATCGACTTTTCTCGCGTTATCCGCTATCTCATATTGATGAAGACAATCGACCTGACCTGTCGTAGAGTCCGCTAGAAGCGTGATGGACGTTCATCAGGTGGCCGCCGAGGATCAGCGCAACTTCTACTCGGGCGAGCTGTTGAGACGGAAGAGCGAGGGCAGCGATACGCTACCCGTCTCGCGAACCGCCGCGACAGCTGCGTCTTCCTCGTCGCTGATGCCGAATCGGGGTGGCGCGACGCGTCACCGCAGAGTATCCTTCGACAACGCCCAGGATTCCACCACCAACGGCAGCTCGGCCGTGGACAAGGTGGTGCGCTGCCGCAACAATAAATGCGGCAACTCTACCACCCTGGCCGAGGCAAGGAGGACCTACAAGAGCTGCCACAACTGCACCTGCCTGTACTGCTCGCGCGAGTGTCGACGAGCTCACTGGCAGCGTCATCGCAGGACCTGTCTTCACTCGCGAGCCGGCAGTCTCTGCCGTCAGGTGTTGTCCTCGGCGAAGGAGGACCCGGCCACTCTGAAGCACATCTCCGCTCTCGCTCGACGGGGCCACGACGCTCACGGCCGCGGCGCGGTCAAGTGCTTCTTCTCGAGCCCCGAGGCAGCCGAGCGCTTCGTCGGCAACGGCTTCGCCGATCTTGGCGAGCCCACCTACGTGCGCTGGCCGGATTTGTTGCCCGGCGAGATGGGCGCCGAGCTGTACGCCGAGCTGATGCGCCTCTGCAAGACGTACAATCCGGAAGCGCGGCTGGTGCTTTACGTAGCGGTGTGCGTGGTCAGCGAGGTGCCGACCAGCGGTGCCGTTAGATGGGAACGGCAGCTGGTATCTCGATGCGCCAAGATCAGACTCGACGGAGCGGCGAAGCAGCACGCTTCTTCGTCCTCGGCGTCGCCGCAGGCCAGAAGACAGCAAATACCCGCGTCGCCTTGTAATATCACTCGGGAGATGGATTCGCCGGAGACCCTGGTGCTGACATCGTTACCCGGAAACAACGGTCAGAACACGCCGCGGAGGGCCCGCGAAATCAGCTTCACCAACATCCAGCGGCAGCTCAGGCTCAGGGGAGTTTCCTTGAGAAGGCACTTTCCTCAGGTCTACCGGAAGCTCTGTTCCTACGTGGATGGCTCGGTGGATAAGTTTGCGCCGGTGACCATCTATCCTAGGGATCAGGCATCCGGCAAGAGCTTCATGTGCATCATCATGCTGGACGCGGAGCCTGAACGTTTGCAACTTTTGCCCACGGACTCGTCCAGGGTCAGGACGGTGGACATTAGCGTGGAACAAGAGTGAAGATCGTATCCAAGGTACGTCGCTCAGAATTTTCTTCAAGTTCTCAGATGAGAGTTGGAGACGTTGCCATCTCCTGTTCGGGATGAAAAGGACTTACCAGCGATACGAGAACGAAGATCACATCTGGAAGAATCGAAAATGTTTGAAATTTCAAGAGACGTCGCTCTCTCAGGATTTTCCTCAGGTTTACGGAAAGAGGATTAAAGAAGAGGTGTCGCGATTGCTGTCGACAGACTTCTTTAGATCGAAGACGACTTTAGTAAGGCAAATTCAGATGACACGAAAATCTAAAAGATATTCTAACTTAATCGGATATCTTTCGGATGTTTACATCATCTGAGAAGATTGTATCTAGATAGAAGCACAAATGATTATGTTAACAAAAAGTTTCAAATGCCAATCGAGCCAAGTTCGACATTTGATGTCAGTTTGCGCAGATTCGCATACACATACATACATGCATACAAAGACTGTTTCTATCTGTTTCTTTTAAAGGAAGAAAATCGAAAAATGAAGAAAACGAAACGTCGCTCTGTTCATATGCACCTTCTTTTGCGACACTCTATATATCTCGCGATCGTATTACAGTAATCTTCTGTCGTTACAAAAAATCCTCGATATAGCCGTTGCAGTATAAGATGTTTATCAATCGTTTGCCGAGGGTGAGTTTTATTGCGAGATCTTTTATCGACCGTCTAATCCTTTCACATGAAACACATATATTGTTACGTATAATTAATTCAAGGATTCGAATAATTTAATTATATCTTGCGTATATCGTGCAATTCGATAGAGCAACAATGATGCATATTTATTAACTTTATTTTTAGCAATCGCTGATAAAGAATTTTCAATTTAATTTATTACAATAATGGGATATAATTAATGTTATTTTTTTAACGAGGAGGTTGAAAGGATCGACCATGGTTTCAAGTTCTCGGCGAATGGAACGGAAAGTAATATTTAGAGTACGTTGTTGTGTCTTTGTTCAACTTTGCATTGTTTAAATTTTATCGTATATATATAAATATATATAAATTATATATAAATATATAACATATGTGTGAAGACGAAGGACATAATTTTTCCTCGGTGAATATGCTTACGATAATCGAATTCTGAAATTTCGCTTAGGTCCCATGTGCTCCATCGGAAATTGATTAAAATTGTGTAATGTAAAAATTCAAGAGAAATGATATTTCGAAAAATATATTGAAATGTGACATTTGTTTGCAAATATCAATTTGCTAAGAGGGAATAACTTGCCTTACTTTTCATCGTGGCATATATAATTCTCTTGTTATTAATCGGATTAATTTAGTAATATAAATACTATATATAATCGTAAAATTCTTTTCATATCTATAATTCTTTGATAAATGCATGGAAAAAAAAAAGAGTCGAATATATCTCGCGCACAAAATTTTGTCGCAAGTATATCATCCGCCATCATGACACTGTGCCAAATGAGAAGAAGAACGAGATTAATCGCGTATATTACAGGGAATATATAAATTTTCGAAATACTGTCGCAAGGAATATTAATGTCTATGATCTCGCGACAGAGAGAGAGAGAGAGAGAGAGAGAGAGAGAGAGAGAGAGAGAGAGAGAGAGAAAGAGAAAAAAAATGCACATAATTTCGGCTAAAAGGCTTTTCCATGGATCAACGAATCCCCAATTTATTAATAGTAAGCATAGCTTAAGTCGAGCTGCATAACAAAACGACATTACAAAAAAAAGGCTGATCTCTTTCTAGTAGAAAAGAAGAGCGATTGATAATGGTGCCAATGATAACGTCTCGAGAACACATCGTCACTTTGTAGTGATATAAAAATACAAATAAAAGCATAGTAAAGGGAAAAGTTGCAAATTAAAAGTTCCCATCGGGAATATCGCGGTGTCATCGAGCGAATATTAAAGCAAGCGATCGATGTTCCCGTAATTTTAATTGAATAGATAATTAATGGGAACGTCGTTACGAGAAAGTGAGAATGCGATTTCTTACGTTAGTTGATAGAATCGATATCCGTTTCTATCCGTTGACACAATGCAATTTTTAACGACGAGACAGAAAATGAATCGAATCAAAGAGGAAGCATCCCAGTGCCAATAATAAAATGCCACGGATATTTCTACACTCAACGAGGAATACTCAACGGTTCTCGATTTGCTATCGAGTATCCAGGATTAAATCTTACGACGAGATCCACATTTCGTATGCACACGATCACGATAATCCTCATCGCGATTATTGATTCCGATGAATCGCATTCCTTTGTATGTATAACGAGAGTATAAAGTTATTACCGCAACGCGATTTCACTCGATCGTTCGCTCATCCGTTACATTATCAAGCTTGCGACCAATGTTGATCCTTCATTTACGTTTGTACATAGCGCTCTTAAGGGAATATATTTAGGAAATGAATTAGAGAGGTAAAAGAGAGCAATTTTACTAGCACGAGGAGAAGAGATTTAAAAGGATCGATCAAAATTCGCGAGTAGGTGGCTTATTCGGAGATCAGTCCTCGTTATATCCTCGATAGTTCCTTTTTCCTATCTCTATCACGAGGACGATCACTGCGATTTCATTATACAGGTTGTATGATAAAGAGTATATATTGATTTTGGCGCTTTACGATACACCTTGTATAAATATATTTATATATCCACACATTCCGCTCTATAAAAGTATATAACGAACAGTGGTCGGGAACATCGGTCGGAGAAGAAGTCTCAATTCCTATTATATTAAGTGTATATACAGTGTGTTTGTAAAAGAATCTATATCTATTTCTAGAGAGTTTATTACATAAAGAAAAAAGTATATATAAATGCTGCGCGTGTTGTCAATAATTTTTAATTATAGATGTGGAGCAAATTGACAGAAACACACATGCTCAGGATGTTTTTCATCTGGAAAATACTTTCTCGATTTTGATTGATCAAATATTTCTTACTTACTGCTCGACAATTTCTTTATAGAAGATGAATTACTATTATAAGTTTGCAGAAATAGATGGAAGCTTTATGGGCATTCTGTATGACTCCGACCGATAAAACGAGAAAGCTGTTGCTCGACAAATAATTTAGAAGAGTGATACAGAAGAAAATTAATCTCGCGCGAATAAGAAGAAAATTAAGCGACTTAATCGATCGAACGAGCAATCTCAGCCCGCACATAGTCACTCTAAAATCTTAAGATATCGTTTCAACGTCTATATTTATCGGTGCTATCAAAATGTGCTACCATTGTTTTCGCATCTGTGTATGTCTCGATTTTTCAAATAAAATGTTAATTTTATTACATAGGTTCACAGTGTAACTATCCTCTCGCCCAACCACCGAGATATATCGTCGAAATAAAATGTATAGAAAAAAATATTGATTAAATATATATAAACTGAAAGATCGCTATATACAAAGGATAAAGTTGCGTGAGATTAAAGAATGAAAATTTCAGTAAGCTTTCTGAAAAATAATTTAAAAGTGACTTCGATTTAAATTAAGATTATTTTATTAAGATTTTTATTAAGATTACTTATTATATACAAATACAAATTTGTTGGATAATGAAAAAAAAACCTAAAGAATATTTACGAAATCTTTTTGATTTATTTGGCTCTGTACAGATTTACTACAAATTTATTATTGTTAATAATACCATCATATATTTGTAACGGTGTAGGTAAATGATGCTCGCGTATAGTTTGGATGGATCTTTCCCGGAGACAGATTCGAGAGACCGTCCTCCTCTTATTTATCATCTTTCTTTTTCCTTCTCTCGGGCTAGATCAATCTGACCAATCCCGATAACCGTTTATCGACTGTATACCTCGAGCATAATTTGTTTTACACAAGCTTTGGAATACCCGTGGACACATAGGTACAACGGCTTTACAATAATTTATAGGAAAGCGCGCGGTTGAGACGAGTGATGACAGCTACACTTATTTCGTTCATATAAATGCACGATATCGAGAAGCTTACATTCCAAAAGAGAACCCCGGTTTACATCCTCTCTCTTCTTTTTCTTAGAAAAAACTTTAGATAAATACTGTGTCGTAAATTGGCGAGATAGCTAAGAATATTCTTTACATCTAGTGTTCTTACGTCTAATTTCGATCTGCACTGCGCGTGTATACCGGATGCGCCAATATTCCCGTGAAATATATTCCATGAAATATAATAAGTATATTACGGAAGAATACACCGTGTGGATATAGTCCACGATTTAAAAAAAAAATCAAAAAATAAAAAAGTTATGTTTAAGAGAATTATTGATGCATCCCATATATGTAATGTTATTCAAATAAAAAATCTGTTACAAAAAGTACAATATATATCCGAAAAGTTAAACAAAATCATTTAACGATTATTTTTGTGAAGTGAACGAGTGAATAGTTCGTTCGTGAAATGTCTTTGGCTGTTACAAGAAAATTGATATAAACGCAATTTGATTATTTAAATTTCGGAAATTAAAAAGATTAAAAAATAAGAATTAATCTGATTTGTTTAATCTATTTGAAATTGCGACTTTATCTAAATTCTCTCCTCGCTTGTGATTCCGTTTACATTTCAAAATAAATTAAACTTGAGCTTGAATCGTCAGGCAGTTCACTTTTCACCTCAGCGAGCCTCGTATGTAGAAATTGATTAATATTACATTCTAACTTACAGCTTCCTGTGTTTCTATAGATTCGCGTAAATGTACATACACACATCGTTGCCATATATATTTCGCCTTCGCATAATATATTTTATACACAATTGAAACATTAAATATAATTACAGTTTACAGCGGTTCGAGTCAATTAAATTGACGTGAGAAAATAAAGTGAACTAAAAACCAGAAGGTAACCAGTGAACACGTAAAAATTATATTTTATAAAATAAAGAAAAATCCCGCATATGTATAAAACACAAAATCAATTTTACTGAATTTTCTGAGAAAAACTCAAAATTGACTGTTGGAGATTTTCTAAGAAAACTTTATCATAATGCCAGAGAATTTCTGGGTTTGTCTAGAATTTTTGTTTGTTTGCCAATAAATCTCCCGAGTGTCCACGTACCTGGACCCCAACAGAATCACTCGTTCCATTTTCGCATTACTTACAGAAAATTCGCGGTAGTACATACAAGAAAATTTACAGACTTTATATTTTCGAAGAAACTCGGGGGAGGGGGGGGGGATAGCGGAGAAAGAACGCTCTTCTCTCCCATCCCCGCCATGAGATTTCGCGGCAATCTTAACAATCAATATTTTTTTATATATACTATAATAATATATATATATATATATATCTGTATATATATATGTATTCCGTTTTATCTAGAGTCGTCGTCGCCGTGCTTCGTCAATATCGATGCAAAATAAATCACAATCGTATATTTCTTCCTCCCCGTTACCCTCCGATTGGCAACTATGCTCCTGCGTCATTAACAACATATATATGTTGGATATATATTTTTTTTCTTCTGTCTTTTTTTCGCCATCGAGTTAATGAATATGCTAAAAAATATTAATCCTTTCTCGCGCCTTTAAAAGTATTGTTCTATATTTAACGGAGTATTTTGGTTTTTCGACACTATGTAATTTCCACGCAGAGGATGCGGCAAAAGTAATGTCTCGTTTGAATATTTAAAAACAAAAATCAATTTTTTTTCTTCTTAAAAAAAATTGAGTTATATGTCATACATATGATTGTCATATATATTATGCGTCTAAAATAATATATATGTTATAATATCACTTAAAAAGACAAATAAATGCACAAATAAAAAAACTCGATATATTCGAAACGATGCGATTACTTTCACATTACACCTTATGCTACGTTTCTACCTGCGCCATGGAAGATCGTGACTCGAAAATGCGAAGAAAGATAAAAATTCCCAAGATTCACTCTTACGAATACGAAAAACATATCTTGAGATTAAGGAATTATAATCTTGTAGTCTTACTCGCGAGAGTACGTCCTAACACCTGCACCTTTTGGTTCAACTCGACTTATCGATAATGTACGCATTAACGCAGAGCGCTCGTCTATGGGGTAAGTAGAGAGAGAAAGAGAGAGAGAGAGAGAGATGTGCTTATATATTATTATTACTATTATCGTTATTATCATTACCATTATTATTAAATGTGTTTATCTGCGAGTGTACGATTTTCGTGCATCTTCGTACATCACCGTTATGGAATGTGCCGGGAAGGAAGTCGCTCTATTCGAGGAGCTACGACTTCGGCAAGTCGATGTTTTCGTCTCCTTCTGCGCATATTCCGTCGACAGCTTGAACGCCTCGCAACATGATATTATTGCAATCAAAATTCTATGTCAATTATAAATACTAAACACAAGTAAGAGAATATTAAGATGTTATACATAAGAAAATTTAACATATTTAGTTCAATATTTTTTATTTTATATGCTTCAGCAAATTTGTAGAGAAATTTTTGTACCTTTGATCTATGAATTTATACAGTAATGTATGATTAATAATAATATATATATATATTATAATTAATAATATATTATAAAAATAATAATATTAATATTCATTATTAATATCTCTAAATTCTTTTTTTGGACTGACAAAAAAATATGTAACATATTTTATTTTAAAGTGTGTGCACAATTTTAAAGAAACGCAGCGTTCAATCTGTCAATCGTTTGTTTTGTGTTTTCAGAATTTCTCTGTTTATCCAAGATTTTATTGCTTGGATCAACAGCATTTACAAATTTTGCTATTAACTAGTGCGTGAACTTGGCATTGTGTGCTTTTGCAAGCTCACGAGTTCCCATTCGAAACTCGAATCGCGATTCGGCGAAAGCTACATTCGCGATTAAATTGGCCGCAATTGGCGCGTCCTCGAGAACGTCCTAAGGACAGAGTGATTAAACTAAACGGCGCTATTGCTATGTCGATTGGTTGGTTCGCCACTCCATTCAATATTGCAGATTGACTCGTAATACTTAGAAGAAAGATGATGTCATGGTTGACAATTCCAAGAAATCATCAAAATTTGGAAATTTCTTTAAAAAAACATTGTTTTTTTAGAAATTTAAATTCTTTCTCATCCTTTCCAAAGAAAATATTTTTTAATAAATTGCTCTCAAAAGGATTAATAAACCAATAATCAAATGTAACACACACAAATGTCTTTTAAATTTCTCTCATAATAATAATACGACAAGAGAAGCGAACGTATTAAAATATATGTTGCCTTGTTCAATGAACGGTAATAAATAAATCCAGATAAGATTCTACAGTAAGACGTATCCTCTGTTAAATGATTTCTGTTAAAAGGATTGTGCAAGATTATACTCGCTATTCTTATTATAACTTAGAATTTACCTCCATCTACAATTTTGAAGATTATTCAGATTCTAAATATACAATGCGTATTTAAAATGTATGAGCGTTTTGATGATTCTCAAAAAATGAAAAATTGGTCAAAAATGAAAAATTGATTAAAAATAAACAAACCAAATAGCCCGCTACAGCGTGACGGGACACATTAAGATGATGTGATGACGAAACGAAAAAATCATCGGCCATTTTTTTAGGAGGCAGTAGCGGCGGCGGCGGATTGAAGGGAGTTGGGTCACGCTAGATTGCTTTCTTGTTCGCCCCATCCCTCACTGTCGCACTCACTTTCCGATGCCGAATCGCTGTCACTGAATTCGACGGCAACACGGCGCGCTAGAATGGATGCAACGTCGTTTAGCGCATTCACGCGTTCCACTTCCTTCTGTTCTATCTTTTCCACCTTGCGCAGCTTTATTCCTACAAAGGATAGTGATTGCATTAATATTACAATTATAATCTTACAATTTTTAACATAGTCGTATATTCATAATATATATTTGATATCAAAGATTGTTAAAGATCCAAGAGATAATTGTTTTATTCTTAACTGTATCGAAAATCATAAAAACACAGAAATAAATTACCATCACGAATCGCTTTGAGCAGATCGTTTCGTGGATCAACCAATGGAATATTCGGATTAACAGGCTTCCTCAATTGACCGTCCACGATGCTCTTCAAAGGTTTCAGTTTCGGCGGATTAGTCGCAATCATTTTCGCGATGTCGCCATTTGTAAGAGGCAATGGCGCCGTCGGGCCGTTGGCAACCGGTGGAGGAGGCGGCGGCGGCGGAGGTGGAGGAATGTTGCACGGGGGCGAGATGGGTCTCGGCGGGGTAGGATCTGGAGTAGGTGGGGGTGGCGGAAGATCTTGGGGTGCCGGGTCCGTTTCGTCTACGCCCAACTGGTTCGGCGGCGTCGGTGTCGAGCGTTGACTCGGCAGAGGACTGTCCGTCCGACTTCCGTTCCTATTCAGCAAGTGCGACGGTATGGAGCCTGAAATATATGTTAATAAAAATCGTAATGATCATGTGTAAATTTTCAATTAATAATTAATACGTTTAAACTATAATTTAAAGAACCAAGAATTTGTGTTTCTTCACATACAATTATTAATAACGCGATAAATTAAAAATAATAATATACCGTTCATGGAAGGAGGAGACATGGTTTCTCCTGGTGGTGGGGGCGGTGGCGGTAGAGTGTCTCTACCGGTGCTCATGGATCTTCCCCTAGTGGGAGTATTATTGGCGGATGCCACTGTGGGTGTAGAATTGCTGGAAGCGTTACTTGGTGGTGCGGGTGGCGGCTGCGACGGCCGCGATCTGCCGCCTCGGCTCGGAGTGCTCTGACCGCCAGGACTCTGATACGTTTCGCTGCCGGCCGGCACCTGACCCGGGGCATAATGCGATCCATACGAATTCTCATCATAGCCCTGAGCTATGTAGTTTGTTGCCCTGGTGGTGAAAAAAAACGAATAATTACATAAAGCCGCAAATCTATAGAAAAATCTAAAGTCAAAAGTAGAACCAGGAAAAAAATCATAATTGTAAGTATGAACAAATTATAAAAATATCTTTCCGATTATTAATTTATCTGTGTAAATGTGTGTGTATATATTATATATTATTATTTTAAAATTATTAGTTGCACATTATTATTATCGCGATATTTTCACCTGTAGTCGGAAGATGGCGGGCTGTAAAGATGTTGTTCTTCCGGGGGGTAACTTCGCCGCAGCTCGATACTGTTAGGCCTGGGCGGCCTAGGATCCGTCATCACCATTCCCAGTAGCGTGTCGTCGCCGGGCTGCACATTGTGCGGCGCCCTATATTGCACCGTCTGCGTCGGCATAATGTACTCGCCGTGGCCAACGGCCAATTGCCGTTGCCGTTCCCTCGTATTGTGCGGCTGTCTCACGCGCTTCTTGTGCCTGCCACCGCCACCTCCGCCGCCACCCTCATTCCGAGGCCTATGCGGCTGTTTTGCGAAAAAAAAGAATGCAATTTTTAAAATGAGAAACGCGAAAGAGACAACGATCAAGGTGCATCGCATGTTAAATCAAGCACAATCGGTTTAAAGTCAAGAACGTCTCGACGATTGATCCAGCGACTGTTGTATAATGTTATCTCAGCGAATTTGGATTCAATGTATTGGAGCATAAATGTTATCTTAAAGATACCCTCTCATTCGTTTAGCCAAATTATAATGTACTGGATCAATAGTTAAATAGGATATATGAATATATATATATATATATATGTAGGAAATAAAAGTGAAGAGCTTTGTAAAGATGATAGCATTATGTTATAACCTCTGAAATTTTTCATTCCTGATTTCTATTATTACCATGAAAAAAAGAAGCAAAATTTTTATTTCCTGTAACTATATATATATATATTTTTTTATTTCCTACAATATGATAAACATGAAAATGGAGATGAGATATTCCTGAAATGGACAATGAGACGATATTGAAATCATGAAGATACCGGTGTCGCTCGAAGATGAGTCAGTGGATGATGAGTATATAACGCAGTTCTATATAATACATTCAAAACTTGCATGAAACTGGCAAAAAACGGCATTACATAAGTGATCCACAAAGTGACGGTAAGTGTAAGAGACTTGTTTCAAAAAAGACGAGTTTCAAAAAAAAAACACAACTCAATTTACAGTGGAAGTGGAAGGTGGAGCTAGGATGGAAGGCCCTGCGTAGATGGAATTTTAGTCCTCTTCTTTGCTCTTTCGTCGTCTAAAAGATCGACGAATTTAGACTTGAACCAAGGGAGTTTATTTACATTCGATCTACGCAAAGTGATGTGATCGCCACTGAGAAAATGTGGCTCTATCAACTACAGAGAACTTCGAGAAAGCGAGCATCTAGCGTCAATCTCTATATCAGCGCGCAAAAAGGTCGGTTAATGAAAGAAAAACCACAGAGAGGGTGATTATATGCGATGAGAATGGAATAGTTGGTGTGGCGATCAATTCGCTGATTGAAATTACTGTTGTCGGATGTTTCGTAAGAGGGTAAGAGAGATTAAAAAGAAACTACAAAGATCCAAACCATCGACTTGCCTCTCTGAACGGTTCGGCATATTCAGACTCGCTCTATAACGAAGGGGATAGTAATTCAATAGTTAGAATCGCAGTATTAAAGACGTACGTTAAAAAAGTAATTTAGTTTACCAGCTCGCGCGCACCCCGAAAACTTTAAAGAATTAGACTCGGTTGATTTGCTTGTATTTCTTTCATTAATTTAGATTTAGAGAAAATGCGCGATAATACAAATATTATAAGTAATACAATAGTTATCGAGGTGCGTTTTTAAATATATTATTATGCGAAGGATTCTTACCTTCTTCCCTCGATCGTGCAACTTCTTTTCCGTATCTTTGAGCATCTCCTGACTCCACAGATCAAAAAAGTAATTCGGATCGGTATAGAACTTTAAGCCGTCCTTACCATCCTCTCTGAAAAAAATACAGTTCAATTACTCTCGAGAGTTAAACCTATTTATATTGATGAAAATTAAGCAATGTCGTTAATTACCTGTAAATATTAAGCTTATCTAGAGGTGGTGGCGTATCGCATTGATGATAGGTCTCTAGCATCGCCGTCGGCATCGTGTCTCTGGAGACGACTTGTTGATCGAACACGACGGAACTCTTGAAGGCTTTTCTCATATGTATATCTTGCAACGAGACTGCGCAAAGAAAATCAAGAGATTTTAATAAATCTTCTTCGTCTAATCTCACAACATTTTATTTCCTTTCTAATTCTCTCTAATTGTTCTTATCTCGGTTATAGTTTATATATACTATGAAGATCGAAACGAGCAGTTTCCACGTACCTTCCTCGACATTACTGTCTAGTTGGGTGACCTTGACGGCCAAACGATCTATCCTAGCCTGTAGAGAGTTGGCGCGATCGCTCAATCCATGCGCCTCTCTCGCCAGCTCGCCGAACAGATCCTCGGCGTGCCTCGATAGACTCGATAGTTGTCTTATAGTATTGGCTAAAGTACCATTAGTGGCTGCTTCGAGCTCCGACGGCAGCGGGAAGTCCTCGGGGATGGTGCCGCGTGCCACGTGTACGGGCTCTACTAGTCGTTTCGGAAGCGGCATCTTGCCGGCTGTTTGTTCCTCCTGCTTGCTCCTCCTCCCGGTAACTCACTCACCGCTCTCTCGAGACCTGAAATCATCCCCGGAATTATTGTCAGAAATGTCAATCATCGGATCAGATTCTCGAAATTTTAAGTTTTTTCATTATATAACTTTATGAAAATTTAATCCAAGTCTCAATCGATCCTAATAATGAAAAAAACATATCCTTTGCATTGGAGGACAAAATCTTTTATGCCTTGAATGCTTAAAGCAATTAAAAATATTGTAGAAATATTTCTGAATTATTATTCATACTTTTGAAAAGTATTTTTTATGAACAATTATAAAAATTGATAAATTTAATTATAATTTTTATAATTAAATTTATAAATTTAATTATATTATAAATTTATAATTTTAATAATAAAAATATATTATTTATAAAAGTTAATTCTCAAATAGTATGCAAGGGATATACATTACTAGAGCTGAAGGAAAAATTGTAATTAAATATTGTCGAAAATATAATTATATTTTTCATCGAAATGGTGTCGACGAAAGTTTCCAAATAATTGAATATAATTTTTCTGTACACGATACTGTACAGGATACTTCAAACATGTTTGAGAATAATCGAATGACGCTCTCCTAGGGTAAATTTGCTTAAAACGTGATTTATTCGCGAGTAGCTTTTGAAGAGTGCTCGACCAGTGTGAACCACTCGTAATAGCTTAAAATCGTCCCCGTTTTCGAAGAGGACCGTTAACGAGATGAATATTTGATTCAGCCGAGGACATCCCTTTGATCCAGTCCCTGTTACATCCGACAATGTACAAATGGGGGAGGGCTCGAGCGAGAGGAATTGCGAACGCGTAATCTCGCGGACTATAAATATACATTTGTATAAATTTGTGTACTTGAAAATCGCACAAATTGACGATATTTCATTGCTCGCTGCCTCTTATCTCGTTAAGCGCCGTTTGCTTCATTTTTTCCACGGGTTTTGAAACACGCTCAACGTGCACGCACACACGCACGCACGCACGCATGTAACGGTAAATACCACTGCATTACGCAATTGCTAACGTCATACGTGATAACGATAATATCTTATCGCTCATGGTTGACTGCATTAGCAAAGTGGCCGTATCAGTTGTTTTACTTCTTCAGATTTTTATGGATAATTATTATGAACGTGAGTTATCGGTGCATGGAGTCGCCCGTTAATTTGCAAGCATGTGACGTTACAGTTATGCTAATGTTATGCTAACGTTATGCTAACAGAATGTTGAATTAAAAAATTGCATTCTCGACTATTTAAAATTTAACTTTTCAAGTTTGAGGAAGCGAGATTTATTTAGATATTTAATAAATTATTGTTATATTTAATTATCTTAAAATTCTAAAGAATCTTATATAATTATTTTATAATCTCTTTCCGCTTTATCAGAACAAGAGAATTTATAACAGGCTTTTTCCTTTAAGATTAATTAAAATGGAGACAAATATGTATGTCAATAGCGATTGTCAACAAACATTGTTTGAGTTATCCGGGGTCAATGATACGACCGTGACCGAATATAACTCTGTCAGCAACGACAACCAAGTCGGCGACGTGCGTAACTCCATTGTGCCTCCTAATTAGCAATTAGCCGCTGCGAAGCGTGCAAATGGAGCTGCTCTACGGGATATTGCACCTGCGAAGAGAACCATGAAAAGCTCTGACACGGCTAATAATATCTATCAAAGGGATTGTATCTGAAAACACCTTCACATCTCGTTATAGCTTACCGTTAAAACCTCTTCTGTTATTTGTAAAAAATTGTAAAAACTATTTAAACTTAATATTCTTCTTGACATCTTTCTTGATATTATTATTAATTATCCTCTATTATATTAAATGAATATATTATTAAAGTCTTGACATAAAATAAAACCTTCACTTCAATGCGTTATCTTGAGACTCCACAATAGGAAATAATAATTCATGTAATAATATTTGCCACTTGTAAGTTTTTTGACGATTTGTAAAATATATTTATAATTTATTTATAATTGCCGATGTATAAAAAATAATATTATATTATCTCACAAGCGATGAACAGACATCTTGTTGAATACTCTTGTTGAACTCAGTCATTACGATATAATTATCGTGTGAGTCACTAACCACTAGAATTCTTTTGCCGTCAGTATATTTTATTACGTCACGTAAAATATCGAACAGTCATTTTGTCATTGAACCAGTCAACGAGAAATAAACGATTCATTTCGCGGCCATTGAATATCGAGATCACGAGGCATAAAATTACATAACGAATGTGCAAGTGCAAAATGTCGATATTTCACAAGAACGATTATTATATTTGGATTATTTAATACAGAAATCTGCGAGAAACGGCTTCTATAACTGCTGGCAAGTTGCAATTGCGATTAGCAAGTATTCGTGTGTTTTCGCACAATTAATTTAATTTATATATTATTTCAAATTTATTATTTGTATAAATTTCACATTTATATATTTCATATTGAAATAAATTGTTCCACATTTATTTTGATAATATTATACATCAATACCAATTATATCTCTAGGATCAATATTTTATTTCTATTATTTTACTACTAATATCCGAAGAGATATATTAATGTCTTCAAGTGCTTTCTACTTTTTGCGAATATAAGTCAATGCTGTGTGATATTTGGAGACAAACATCGATATGCTGCTAAATTTAAACATTCGTGCTAACAGGATTCATGTGCAGTAAGCTTGAAGCATGTTCTTTGTGAATGAAACCGCAGACACACGCTGCCGCATGCAGTAGGCTTGCATAAGGTAAGCAATATCCTGAGGCTGAAAGGTCACTACTACGCTACAGTGCTCGCCTACTACTACCACCGTTTGACAAGTAGAAACCGGAAAGGCTTATTCTTTGCTCCTCGCAACATGTTTGTCGATTATTCGGACGTTGCACCTATTTCAGGTTGTATTCGATTGCGTTTGGATCATCCACAACGATACTGCAACGTACGATGACACTTGCGTTTCGAATAAAAAATTGATTTTCACTCGAGATTTTTATGCAAAAAAAATTCAATAAGATTCTACAAGTGCGCGTGAGAATTTTATTTCTAACTCAATTTTATATATTTCATCTAAATGAAAATGCACATGTCGACCGAATAAAATTTATTTAATTTCTTAATTTGACAGATGTGCTTTATAAAAATCATATAATAACAATGAGATAATATCCTGTATGAAAAATCTTAATTTTTCAAGGATTCATATTTTTCAAGGATATACAAACGAACGATAATTTTTCTGATTCCGATAATTCAACGCGTATAATTTGATGCAAATATATTCGCGATATATCGAAGGCGTTGACATTGAAAGCAGTTTTTTAACGCTTAATAATAATGTGGCTCGAATTGTTAAATCTCTTTTTAGATTTACAAGATGGCGGTAAACGACAAATGACAATGAAATGCCGTGCTGTTTCTACCGATTATTCACGCTTGTTCGCGGTTGCATTCTGGTGCGCACGTGCGACTGTCGAGCAGAGAATGCACATGTCGACCATATGGTCACGCATAAAACGTATGCAAGAAAGACAAGGTCACTACCCCCTACGCACAAATCGATGCAATTTTGCGACTATAACAAATCTCTTCTTGAGATTATATTATCTGTTCTTTCTTCATGCCTTTCATGTACGCACAAAAAAAATGCATTTTTTTAAATAACTTATACATATAAAATTAAACTTTCCCTTTCGATTTTTTTTAAATTTTATTGAAAACAATTTGATAATGAAAATAATTCGACCGAATAAAATAAATATAAATTACATAAAAATTAATATAAAAAAATGGAATAAATTGATTAAATTTATTTGTGTTCCTTTTCATCATATAGCGTTATTTATTTTATCGTATTGTAAAATGGTTTGCGGGAGATTTCTGCATTGATATTCAAACTACTTAGTGTGCTTCACAGGAAAGAAGCGCATATCGAGATGCATTAGAATCGAGATCGAGGCGATTGAACGGTGCAATCTGACTAGACATTATTGTTGACAACAAAGAGTTATGCTAATGTCGCGACGTGCAACGATTTTGCAATCGCGGATACGTGCATCTAGGAAAATTCTATCTTCTTCGCGAAATGCCATTCCTCGCCTCTCGGAATTACATTGAAATCGCAATTTTTTTTTAATAAAATGGAAATAAATTAAATATATAAATAAATATATATAATTAAATTCATATATAAATTTATATATTAATATATTACTAAATTATACAAATTTCATTTTTATTTTTCTATTGATAAAAGTAAAACATGCAAATTTTCTCATACAAATTTATTTTAATATCGGAAATTTAATTCAACTACAATTTTATAATTATTGTTCGTAGATTTAAAATTTTAAATTAAATTTTATTTATTCATATACATATATACTTATATTATCTTTTTGCCAAATAAAATTTTTAGTCAGTGCAAAAAGGATTTCCATCGAACGTGGGCGGATTATTAACCACGTGTAGCTAATTAAAGCGCGAGAGAGCTTCGCCAGAAGAAACGACAGGAGAGAAACATAGATAGAAAGAGTGAGAGAGAAGAAGAGAGAGAGAGAGGACGAGTATTGTATTCGGGTCACTGATAAGGGAAGGATGTGAATCGTTGGGGAGTCGCTAACGACAGGTTGAATAAATTATATCGACGTTTATGCGTTACGGGAGCAACGTGCTGAAAAGCTGTGTGGTGCTGCTCTCACAGATTGCCTGGCCGAGATATTTATATCCTGCCTGCTGTGTGCACACCATCACTACTATCATCTTGTATTTTGTATACAGGCGTGAAGTCGATAGAGGTATATACAGCGATCATCAAACTTGCACGCTTGCAATATTACAACAAAAATATTTACTTGATATGCGCTATTTCTCACGATATTGTGCAAACAAAGCTCGATTAAAAGTTTTATCTTCATTGAAATAATGAACGTGAATGCTGAGGAAAGTTAAAGATTTTTCCATCTAAATTTCTCCCAACCGTCAGTGAATCAAAGTTTCGAAATG